GGGCCTAAATAATTACCAATAATATTCTGGAGGGCTCGAATCGCCGGTCCAGCTCCGGAATATCGATCGCCCCAGAACCCTGTTGGGTTCGTTTTGCTGCCAATATCGGTACGCATTCACCTCCTTGGCACCGCCATCAGCGCGCCCTTCGCTCACGAGGCCGATCCAGACTTCGCTCTGGCTTGCGGCCGACCTTGCGGCAAGCTACCTGCCTCAAACGGCATCACTCACTGACTGCGGAGTTTCGTGATAGACTACGCCACATGGGCAGAGGCAAGAAATGGGGCGAAAACTGGGCCAACAATGCTCAGTTGTGGCGTGGTTCATGGTCTACGGCCTCACCCAAGGCGCCATGGAAGCCCAATGGGCCGGGAAGCTACAGGAGCGCTCAAGCCAGCGAGGCTTTTCCTGCCTTCGATGCTCAGACAGTACAGCTGCCCTTACGTGGAAGGGAAATCGCACCGAAGGAGCTTGCAGCGGCAGGCCACGATGGTGGAGAGATACTTCTTCTCAACAACCTTCAGTCCATGCTGAACACCGCTCGCAAAGCCGAGGGCAGAACCGCAAAAGCGTGTGCTGCCAGAGAGCAGCTGAAGGCCCAGTGGGAGAAGTACTTGGAAAACATGAAGGATTCTTGGCTGAAAGAAAAGCGCCGCTTCGAGCAGGCCATGGCCAAACAAGACAAGGAGGTCGCAGAAGCCCGGGAAGCACAAGCTTCTGCGAGGAAGCTCATCCGACAGGCAGCGTTACCAGTTACGGTCGAACGCGGCCCAACTCCCATGGAGGAGGACAGCATGGCCTGGGAGGAGCTTCGAGCGTCCTGGGATGCAGAGCAGGACCAAGAGCTGGATGGAGTTCTCCGCAGGGCACTCGAAGAGACACAGGAGCCTCCCCCAGTTACGCCGCTCCGGAGTACACAGGCGATGCCGAGGACTCCGACCCCTTCCCATCCAGCTGCAGCAGTGCCGCTGACCACGCCAACTGCCAGGAGCGATCCGTATGTCAGCGCAACTGGAGTCGCGCCCATCGCCAGTCCAGCACCGGAAGGAACAGCGGCAGCTCTAGAAGCTGCCGAAGCTGCGGCCCTCGAGGCGAGCCGCCGCACACCCCGAACTGCGGGACCGCGCTTGGGTATCAAGACAACCTCCAAGACTTCGCCGGCACCTCCCAGTATCAGTACCAGTCTTTCGGAAAAGATCGAGGCCAGGAGAAAGGCATTGAATCCTTTCGGAAGACCTGGTCCCGCCCTTGCTGCCACAGCCGAGCTAGCCGCGACTTCCCTTGTCGAGGACGATCCGGACGAGAGCGAGGAGTTACTTCAGGCTCACCCCAGCCCCGGACTTGGCAAAATGGAGTGATTTCAAGGCAGCGGCGGCATAGTGTGGGGCATGCCAGTGCTCATCCGCGGGACGCAGTGCCTTTCGACTTTTCTTGCACTCGGGGATTGCTGAAAAGTCACTGGCCCTCCAGTTTCCTCGGACTTTATGCACTTGGCTCCCTCACACGTTGCTGTCTGCTGCCTTCCTTGAGAGAGCCCGACATGTACAGTAGTCTGTACAGTTTCGGACAGGTAGAGGACTGCAGTTTTGTGGGTTTACGCTCCGATTTTGTACATGATGTGACAAACCCTTCACAGTGTGACAGTCCTGATGGCTTCGCCGATTTGTCTTCCTCGACCCCATTCCTGCTATATGGGTTTTTTGGCAGGTCTGGTGGTCCTCGCCGGGGGTATCCATTCCCTCTTTTCCCTGCAAATGCTTTTTGCACTTGGATTCAGGATAGGTTGTTTTTTCGGACAGGAGCGCCAAACAGCTACATCGGCGGCTCTGGGGTAGCGGCCCTGTCACCACGACCTAGTCCTTGTTCCTTCGTTGTCTCTTCGTTGGGCACTGAAGCAAGCCCAGCTAATTTCATTGCCACCTCTGCCCTTGATGGGTCAGATTTTGCCTGCTTCTTTGTCCTTTCGGACATGTGCAGTGCTGCAATGCAGCCACCACCCGGGTCTTTGCATGGCGGTCGCGCCGAACAGTCGTATCGGTGGCTCAGGGACGACGGCACCGCCATTGCCGACCACATCCTCATAGAGTGGCTGCTCGCTACCTCCGCTTGCCTTTTGGTGCCTCTGTGCCGCAGCGCTCTTGCCATTGTTTTCCTTGCGCTGGTCGGGGTCATGGTTGGACCACTTCGGCTGCGAGTTTTCTCATTTAGGCAGCCATGTGTGTTTATGTGCAGGGGAGCGTCAAGGGAACTTGTCAGGTGCCTTGGAGGTATCACCACCAGCACACCGGTGCTGGATTGGAAGCCAGTGCGTGCTACGCGCATCAAGGCCCGACTGCAGCGTCCTCGCTCCAGTTGTGGTGGCTATGGATATATGCTCTTTGCGTTTCTGCTCCACACCTTCAATGTCCCTATAGCAGTCCACAGCCCCACTGCCTTGGCTTGTTCATTCTGGGTCTACTCACCTGTTGCCAATGCTATGACCCGGTCTGAGGTCGCTGGCCCGGACCCGAGTCGCAGACTTAGACCCGACGAACTACCGCCCATTACCCTCGATGCTCACATCGGCAGCTGTCAGGTTACCATACCGTGGTTAGATGGCAGTCATGAAAGGCCTTCGGACCCGCCCATCTACGAAGGAGTCCTGCCATGGGAACCCCCTACTGGATCCATTACGGCTGAGGGACGATGGCTCGGCGTGCACATCTTCTCGCCACACTACCGACCCAAGTCGTTGGCGATGTTTGTGCGTTCTTCTGATGCAAGTCACGATGTCTTCGATCGCCTGAGGCGACGAGCACTCAGCGGACACGCCCCCTTTTGCAACATGATAGTCCCTCTCCATCCCCAGCCGTACTCAGATTGCCTTTCAGTCATGCAGTTTTCTTGCCACATTCGAGGTGATCATGACGGCCATGCAGCAATCATCATCGACCTGTCGAAGGTCGGTGGCAAGTACTTTGCAACGGTCTTGCCCAAACGGCTTTCCCACTCAGACATTCTCGACTTCGTGCAACCACTTAGTGCACAAGCAAGGGCCTCACTCTGCTTCTTTGTTGGTTGTAGGCACCGGCCGTGGCCAGAGGTTGCTGAGGTTGTCCTTACGGATGGCGAAGTCATCACTGTCGTTGCTTCTGGGGAATCGGTTGGCCCGCGCCACCGCACCGAGACACTCTTCCAATCAGAAGCAGTATGGGGGCCCATTCAGCACTTTCGCCCGGCAGAAACACCAGATGCCCTTTGCGTCTTGTATCGTTCACAGAGGTACTGCCTAAGTTGCCAGAATCCAGGCCTTACCATCCTGGAACACGCTTGTGATAGCTTGCGCATCGATCCCACCAGGATCACTGCATGTGCCTTTCCGATGCAGGATCTCGACACACAGGGGAATCCTTGTGCGTTCCTTCTTGCCATCAAAGACATACAGTCAGGCATCACTTTGCGGGAGGCCAGCACACGACTCGAATGTTTCACACTTTGTGATTTGCGTCCTCTTGGCCATAAGCCCCAAGTGCTTCATACGTTTGTCCCCTTACTGCATGTGCCCAGTCTCGCCACCAGTTTTGGCATTGCATTGCCCCCGGCATACCAGGTCGGCATTCTAGGGGGCAAACGGAAAGGAGACCTCATAAAAATTACTCCTAACACCACCCTTATCTTCTTTGCAGAAGATGCAGCCAATGCCACTGATGATTCCGATGAGGAAGGGTTTGACCAAGAACCTTCCTCCTACGATTCAGCTGCAGGTGGAGAAGGGATCATAGGGGATTCTGACACTCCCATTCCGCCCTGGGATTTGCCCACAATCTCAGCTGCAGGCCATGCAGCAGTTGCACCAGCCCCGCTCGATACCACATTGCCTGCAGGTCATAGCTGGAACCTTGGCATTGGTGACGTCGCAGCCTCTCCTGGTACTCCTTGTTTTGGCACCCCAAGTGCTCCGGCCGACATCGGTGTACCAGCCAGTGCTACTGTAACTGCTCCCGATGATGAGTCTGATGTGCCAATGCCTACAGCACCCCCCGTCCCTGTCGGCACAGGGGAGTCTGCTCAGACCGTCCTTGCATTCGTGTATTGCCCTGAGTTTGCACCAGAGATCTATCGCCTCCAACTAAGCATCCCCTGTAGTGTGGAACAGGCGGTTGCGGAAGTCACACAGGTTCGGAGAAGCGATCTGGCCGTCTTCTTCCAGCAGATTGTCCCGGTTGTGCCACAACCTGCAACAGAAATTGCCATTTTTGTGGCCACGCCTGATTGGCTCACAGACCAAGTAACAATCTTCTGTGATTGCCGCCGCCTCGACA